CCCCTTAATCCTACGCTCCTTCCGGCCGCCTCAACTTCTCGTCTAAATACCCTCCACCACATCGTTACTCAGCGCAACTTACACTTACGCACCATATATATTTGTCCACCTTTTGTTCACACAAACAACTGCTAACACAGCTAGCTGTACTACCGCCGTTGTTTCTCACCCCAGCCAGATCTAAGCTCATCGCCAAAACCTATATTTTCTTCTAGTTAGCAGGCCGCGGGCACACACACTCGTGCCAGGGCAGAATGAAGTTCAACACGTGTGCGTGTAAAAAAGACAGGAGGTCAGATGTCACACCTACATTAGTTATCATCCACATGATTTTGAGGAAGCCCCATTCCTTTCGAAACCACCAACTCCAGCCGAGTTTTCAACAAGGGGAGTAGCTCTCGGAACGTTTGACTTACTACACATTGTCCCAAGCCGACTTGCACAAAGTTGGAGCCAAAAATACTCGAAACATAACTTGATACGTCTAAAATGAACGTTGACGAATGAATACGGTTACCTCTCAGAACGTCGCAGGAACTCCACGTCCCCGCCTCCGCCGGAAAGAACGAAAATATCATTTCGGTCTTACTTAGCTCCCAATCTTTCACTCTGTTTACCTAAGACAAGCATCAACAGCAACAGCAAATGACTAAAATAACATGTCCTTCTTGATTGTCGCCCTCTCTCTCACTCTCTCACGTACTTACTTCGAGACAGGCACCACCAACAGGGGCCTTAAAATAACTTTTCGTTCTCAGTTAGTTGCTCTCTCTCTTTCTCTAGTCTATGTCTTTCGTTCTCTCTGTCATACCAACGACAACAAGCGCACCAGCAACACTGGCGAAGCCTAAACAAACGCACAGAACGACGAGGAGGAGAGTTCGTGGGTGCGATTCCTCCGCCGACGGTTTCATCTCTTCCCGCCACGACACAACCGCTCGCTCTTCGTGTCTTCCCACCTCGGAAACCACGCTCCTTCCACTCATGTTACTCCTCTCCCTATGGGACCTTAACTTAGCTTCAGCCCCAGGAGAAGAGCAGCTATCCTTAACCAAACCAAAAAGCCACAAATAAAACAATCTTCCAGAAGAGCACCTATTCTCAACCAAGAACAAAAACAAAACAATCTTAATGTTCCACATTCAGTGGTGGGTGCTGCACAAATTAAATACCTCCACAGATAGGTGGTACCCCCCCCCCCCCCCCCCCCCCCCCCCCCCCCCCCCCCCCCCCCC